GAGTATTGCTGATGAGATTTACTTGATATATTAATTTATTTTAGGCGGAATGTTTCAAAATTTGGTATTTTGTCCAAGTTAGTAAAATAATCTGCTGTATTGTTCGTAGCCAATCGTGCAATAATCACACAAATTTGATTTCAAATTTGATAATAACAGTTTTAGCACCATCCAGGCGACCATACACCGTCAAAGTTCGACGGAAGGCCAGCTTCGTCAGGTGTATCGTCTATCGGCGAAACTAAATCTTCACGGTATTCATCCAATCGTGTACGTAATGCTTGTACTATCTCTGGATAAAGATCCGCGATGTTGTTTCTTTCTTCGGGATCATCTGGATTGAAAGAAAGACAGCGTGCTTTCATTTAGTTCAACCTATACTCATCGAAACACTTTGTGTAGTTCGGCAATTAACACTGTCTAGAAGTAAGGCTACTAATGAATTTCTTGTTTTTTTTCGATGAGTCGAATTCCGGCTCAATTTAAATGCCATAACTCATTTTTTTGTAAATATGCACTGCTAATGACCCCACAAAAATGTTACAGTGTGAAACTGGACTGTTGAATGACATTCATTAAAATTAGCTAAACGATTAAACAATGTGCAATCAAAACGTTTGTCAGCTGTGGAAATTATTAATTGTCCTGGGTAATCTGAACAGAGAAATAATATGGCTGATCGGTCATGTAAACTAAAGATATAGCATACTCACTTGCGCTGTTATGTATGCCCCATCATTTATCTTAATATGAAAAATGCACTACAGTGGCAATGTATATAACATTCTAGAGATCATCTATTATAATAACAACTTGTCAAACAGTATCTGTTTATATTTAGGTTGGCGATTGGATCTTTATTTTGAAGTAATTTATATATCCGTATGTGAATGAATATTTCACCTGACCACTCGACTAATAAAACTTAATATACGTTCTTCATACCTCTTATATTGAATAAGTATGTCACGTTCTCGGCGGGTATCGAAGTAGGTGGGCCAGGGAACCCGTTTGTCAGGGGGTCACCATAATTGAACCAACCATCTGAAATAAATATATACATTTACATATATTATATATTAGATCACGCCACTTTCAGTTGCGCAAAACTGCAAATCCTACAATGCTTTAAGTATTTATAATATAATAATGAATCCGGTGAGATTTAAATGGAAAATGTGTAATTACCTGATTGATTGGTTGTCCGAATCGGATACAGTGTATCCGGATTACCTGTAATCAGTTTATAATCTCCAACTCTAGATACATACAAAACATACTACAGGGTGTGATTAAATGCAAAACATATGATAAATTCCACCACATGTTCGTGGTATGTGGTAGACGTAATGATATTGTTCTGGAGCTTGTATTTACTTGATGATTAAATTAATCACTTATCCATTTTGAAATAATACTGCGTACTAGTAATTTAAACTTTCATTATTAATCAGCCACTAATTTGTAATAACAAAATAACAAACATTGTTTTTCCTTTTAATTTAACATTTAAATTCCACAATATCCAACAACAAAATCATAAGGGACAGTCGTAGTTGACTAATATTCATTGCATCTATATTGATTACGATAAATTATTATTATTTAGGACCAATCGGTACACTCAAGCTATCACATATATCGCTTGTGAAAAGTGAGACAATACGGGTTATTGTATGACGGGAGTATAAACCTGGAAAGAAGAAAACTGACGACACAGTTCTTCATTACATATCAACTTGCTACAATTTGCATAGATTAAAGGGTTATCTGGTAAACCCCACATTGATTATCAGTACTTACCTGATAGCAGCACCCGGGGAAGGCTCAAAATCATCAATATTATAGACGAATTCTTTTCTTGGCGATGGTTTACCCATTGAGAATGTCTCCCACATATCTATGCCGTCAATTCCAGGTTCTGCAGTGTATAATACAAAACATATTTTAGCAACCTCAATCTAAAATATCGTACAGATCATTGACAATTACTTTTGACAAATCCTTTAACAACTCACCAGATTTAGCCCCAGCTATTGATAGTATCGTTTCATGCAAATCGACCATGTGCCATAACCTGTGACCCGAAAGATAACTTATATTAAACGGAGGTGGATCCAAAATTGTATTTCAAAATACTTTCTTTCATCTCTACAGAACAATTATGCAAAGTGACGATTCAATGGAAAACAATGCTACTCTGAAAATAAAATATACAAGTACAAGTATTGCTCAGCATCACATTTTTGTAGGAGCATTTCATATTTTGCATTTCCCGACTGGCGCTGACTATCTAAGACATCTAACTAGCTTGATAACGACAAAGTTAGATTGCCTTACATTTGATAACACAAACATTATACTGATACGAGACTGTTAATGCTACTAATATTGCCTGAAACATGTATCTAGGGAACTTAAACTCAGTCTTGAGAAACATTTCGAATTTGTAATTGACCATCATTAACTTACTCATTATTTGTATATCCAGTCTGCGCTAACATACTCCCATGAATAAATGCTGGTACGCGTGTAGCGCCTTCAAACAACGTAGCAATAATTCCCCGTAATGGCCAATTGGACCCCGACTGCGTTGCTAATGCTCCGTTCTGTGTGAATTAACATG